CCCCCCCCCCCAGATTCTTAGACTAATGCCGTAGAAAAATCAAAAGTCAAAATTCACATCGTTTTTTCTGAAAATAGGAGGTACTCAAGGAGTGGCCCGACTGATAGCAAGTACCAACAATTTCATCATCCACTGACTGAATAATCCAGTAGTTCATTTCCATGTTGAAAATTGGTAATAAAATGTGAGGGAAAAACATGCTTAAACTGCGGCACATACGTTAACTTAATTTTCCTTTGCAAGTTGGTGTAAACATAACTATTCCAGGTGTTGCATCTGGATGAAGTCAAACTGAGTAAGTTCCACACGGTTACATTGACCCACACGAGGCATTTGACTTGGAACATATAAGAGGAACAATAACAGAGCAATCTTTCCAGAAAGTTTGGGAGAAGACTATATTTGTATAAATTGAATATACGAAGCGTTAGGAAGCAACGAAGCAAGGATTAGATGGTTAGCATTTCTTCCGAGACTACTAGCATTCGGCTTTTTCAAGTGTTGATAAAAGCTGATGCTCAGGAGCTACTGCTAGCTTCGACTAGCCAGCGCCTCATTTGTCCATTTATTGATATTTATTTTTCAAAAAGCAATTGGAAAAGGAGAGGCACAAGAATGCAAATTTGGTCCTCAGAGTGGTGACATCATTTTCCGCTTTCTTACTACAACAAGATGTCCCACATACATGCACAAACATGCATGAAAACATACCTACACACATAAATATAAACTTATATGCATGCAAAAACAAATAATTAGGCTTTATAAGTATTCATCAAAACAACTGTCAAAAGATTTGTAATTTTTCAGGAAACTAATTGCTTCAGGCATTGCCTTCCAAAATTCGCCCTTCAAATAATATACTAGCGTCTTCTTTGTCCTATTCAGGCATGCTCCACTTCAGCAAATGATTAAAAAGATGAAATACACATTCCTCTGGCTTTAGCTTTCAGGCCAATAAAGTGGAGGCCAAACTTCAGCAAACATCCGAAAAAAAAATAAATTGAAAGAAGACGAAATCTTGCTGTGGGCAGCAATGACCAGCGGCATACACAGAATTCGAAATAGGATATCAAGCTTTAAATAGCATTCATTCTTCTGCTCAAAATTACCCTCTAGGTCAAATGCCCTTCTCTTTCCACTTTGTTTTTATGTTTGTTTGTTAAAATGTAAGATACATTTTACCGTTCTGAATTCGTTCATTTGCTTTTAATGAAGTTCCGCATTCCCACCTGGTCTTGATGCTCTTTTGCTGAACTTTTTGCTGCTTTGCTAATGAAAAATATACAGGATTGTAGCTAATTAATCCCAGCATTTCTTCTTTCTCTCGCCGACAATTCTATTGCAACCACATCACAAAAGCAGCATCCGTCAGTCCCAATTTGACGCATATGGGACTTATTCCATGAAATGCCAGAAGCACAGGCAGAATTTTTTGGAGAAATTATTAAGACTCCGGCTGTGAAAAATTATAATCCACAAAAAATGCAGCAAATTTGACTTAGAATGCAACATGCTACCAAACGTTGCCGGGAAAGGGAGGTGCGGTGTGAAATTAAGTACTATTCCATCACGGTGACCTACAATTAGATTGCTATAAAAGCAGAAAAAATGAAACGAAATGCTACGGATGGAACTATTTTACGTCGTAAATTTTGCCAGCCACGAAGATCATATTCAGGAGCTGGAGTGTCCAATGCGCCTCGCGTCCATCGTAAGATAAATGCAAGTGAATGGAAGCTTGCAAACGATTTTAAGATTTATAGTTATTAGGGGATTTCGAGTTTATACAGATTTACTTAGTGCTGTAGGTCCGCCTCTTACAAAATACTAATGCAGAAGTGAATATCCTTCGAGCAACTGCTACTTTATTCTTGCCTTTCTTCTCGCCACTGATGGTGATCCTCTATTTTAGGTATTTTACACTCACATAATTCCAGATAGCTCTTCAAACGAATCACTCCATCACTTTGGCGGCCTTTTTCATATTCTTTTAAAACTGTGCAATGATCAGCTGCGTGATATCTGCACTCTTAACGTAAGGTTGTGTTTGATTTTGCTCCTCTTTCGCTCCTATCTTTTAAAGACAGAAGCAAGAAAGGGATTGAAAATTTCAGTAAAAGCCAATATCACAAGCAGCTCGAACACCAAGCGATCCAGCAACGATCACTAAAACTTGCAGAATTCGACGCATCGTCAATCCTGTATATTTATAAATACCGTACCTTCAACGTCAAAACACCAGTAATTACCAGTATTAGAGAAATATGGATTCTTGAAACGAAATGTGAACATTTGTAAGTTAAAAGGATTCTAAGATGAAAAACAAAAGAAAAATCGCGCTTGGAAGGAATGCGTAGTTCGGTTACCTGAGTAACTGAGCCCATTTCGGTATTGTTTTGGTTTGCTTTTGACACTTTTGAGTGAGCCGCTCCTTTGATCTAAAATTGAGACATTGTGACTTCAGTTAAAAATTCATTTAAGGAAGGACTGAATTGGTTTTTCCAGAATTTTATTCCCATGCAGCTCAAGAAAAAAAAGTACAGCATCTGCCTAATTTTAGAAACTACAAATGGATTTTGATTTTAATGATAAATTGCATCATCGTGTTCTAAAAATGATAACGTTCGAAACGCGGTAGCAACATCTGGAAACGACTAAAGCCTTGCCAAGTTGCTCCTATCGGAATACAGCTAGCTGGTAATCCTCTCAGGAACAAAAACAAATACCAATATCGCCACTGGACGAAACAGTCAGAGCAGCAGAAAAAATACCAGCTGCATAGCTAGAAAAGACTTTATGAACTATAGATAGGTAATCAGAGTATTTTTGAGATTTCTAGGCATTTGTTTTGGTGGGAACTATAAAAGAAATTGTTCAGCAGCAACGGATTGTTAATTCTGCAAAATTCCGTAGATTTTGTCCCATTTATTGCATTCTTCTCTCCTAGCCTCGCATCTCCGCAGAACGTCCTCCCTTATTTCTCCCCTCTTGCTTCACCTATGCAGTAATTATGAGCTTGAAAATTTATAAATTAAACATGAACAAAGAAATTTCCAAGGATCGGAAATATCCAGAAGCTTTATCATTTTAAAATGTAACTGTGCCAGCAGCTACTTACATCTGTGGCGAAACTGGCAGCAAATAAAAGGGGTAGACAAGCAAAGTGAAGCAGCGCCAACATCTTGCGTGCTGGAACTGTGAAGAAATGAACTGCGAATGGATTTTATTAGGTGGTTGTAAGATGGGACCGTCCAGATGCAATTATGTTCGCACATCAATCGCGCAATCTGACAATAAAACGAACAATTTTCGTGATTTTTTCTATCTCCTAAATGGCCATCATTGAACTCATTTCACTCACCAAAAATGCTGCAGATTTTTGCAAAAAATTTTCAGACTGTTAGTGATTCTTCAGAGTTTTCAACTTCTTTCACTATATTAGCGCAGTTTTTATACGCTTCGTGCTTGAACAGTTGCACAAAACGCATATGTCGAGACCCTGACTGTGTGTGTGCTTCGAGTGCATTTTATCTGGGGATTTCAACTCAGGAGCCAGAGAAGCCAGAAAATGAAATTTTGGGAGGGGACCTCTATTTGCGTGTGATCTCGCAAACTCAAATTTAGCGTCCGCGCGTGCATGTGGTCACGAGAAAGTTTTGGTTCCCAAGTCAATAACTCAAGAGCCAGGAAAATTAAGAAGCCGAAAATTTAGGAGAACGTCCCTTGCCTGCGTAAGATACCGCAAACTCAAACTTAGCTTCATTGCATGCTAGATCTCATGTAAGGATATGTGAAATTTTTGAGCGCCAATATTGATAAGCCAGGAACCGTGAAAGCTAGAAAGCTGAAATTTCAGAATAGTGCTTCTGTTCACGAATAAATTCAACTCCTATGCATACTTAAGTCTCAGATACGGGCAAGTTTCGGCGCCAATATTAGTAATTCAGGAACCACGAAAGCTAGGAGACCAGAATTTTAAGGTAATGCTCCCTGCCCGCGTATAAGTTCAATCCCGCGCTTTGCCTAGGCATCAAGTACAGACAAGTGAAAGTTTTGGCGCAAAAATTATTAATTCGGGAAACCACAAAAACTAGAAAAGTGAAGTTTCGGGAGAATGTCCCTTGCCCGCATGTGACCTAGTAAAGTTAAACTTAGTCTTCGCATATGCCTAGGTTTCACGTACCTTCCGGACCCCTAACCTATCCTCCGAAACTCCAATCTGCCCCCAAACTTCCAACCTATCTCCCGAGCTTCCAACCTACTCTTTCAACTCTCAACCTTCCATTCCCAAACCCCTCCTTTTATCCTCTCCAACAGCTTCTACCCCTTCCAACCCTCTCCTCCTCTTTTGCCCTTCCCCTTCGCGCTGAAAAGGAGTTCCCACATTCAAATTTTTAGGTGAGCGGTACAGTTTGTTTGATAGCAGCCAAGTTCGACTCGAGATTCGGTGATGCGTTTTGCAGTATCAGCGAGTAGAGATACATATGCACTAATCTGAGCAATGTATACGCACCGCAGTTCTTTCGAAAATTTTATCAGCAGCATACTAGAACATTCTAAGTGTCGAAACAAATAGATAGAAATTTAATTCGGTCTACAAATCAGTTTCTTCAGGGGCTTTTTTCAGCATTCAGCTTTAGGCGTTCTTCATAAATCAGTCTTAGGTCTGATTTCAATCCATTTCTTGATCTTCGGTAGAGCCATAATCCGTTCTTTGAATTGATTAAGATGTGTGTGCTCAGCTGCTGAGTTCGGAAACATCGAGCTGAACAGTCCAAAAATGCACAGCATATTCAGGTCGGCTGCTGTTAACTGCAAAAAATTATCTTCAATAGATTATTCAAGCGGAAACAAAATACTACTCACTGCAAAAAATCGTATGGCGTAAAAATTGGAAAAATGAAACCTTTTTGCCAACAAAGTAGCCGGTTCCATTCCTGACCAGAATGTTTTCCAGCCGATTAAACATCGGGATAAGATGTTCTTTTTCAAATTCGGCCATTAGCTCCTTCTAAAAAACTGTTTGAATTCGTGTACAGACAGTGCAGCGCAATTGAGAAATAAAGCGAAGCGAGTAAGACAGAAGAAGCCAGCAATTAATCCGTTTTCCATTTTTTTGCTTTTCATTTGCCCAGAATTAACAAAAAAAAAAAAAAAAATCTGAGGACCTGTCAAGTTTACCACTAATTCCGACTGTTTTTTCGCATGCGCATTACAAAATTTAATGCTTTTAAAAGTTGCAGTAAACTTTCCTTAACTCCTATTTTCATCTGATTTTGATTTCAAACTGCTAAATTATTCTCGGGATGTGCTTTCTGTAATTGTGCTCCATCCCCTACTGTGAGTATATAAAAACACTCACAATTTTCTGTTTCTTGCTTTTTCGATATTGATGAGAATATTTTCAGGAAAAAAAAAACGAAACACTGGAATATTCCCAGGAAAAACAAAGTTAAAACACTAGAAAATTATGCAAAGCAAAAAAAAGCCTTTTTAGCTTCATCTTCACACTTGAACCAGGGAACAACATGCGAAATTAAATCATTCGCGGCCTCGAATAGTTCTTCTACCTGTGCCTCTTCCCACTGATTCTCACCAGTCAGACCTGAAACATTAAAATAACTTGCCATTCACTTGTGAAAAAAAAGTAAAATTTTAAAGGCGCTTCACATTTGCAGCAGCCAGATCGCTAACAGCAGCAATGGTTTCTGCGCGATGGTTTAACACGTGAACTCAATATAGCTGTGTTTTGACCTTTTTTTGCACAGAGCGAGAAAAGGGCGTTGGCTGGGATGGTAGTGTTGTATCACAAGGCCGCGTGAACCTCCAACGTGACATCGTCAAGAGCCCTGCCCGTTTTACTGGTGAGCGATTTTTTGTCGAAAAATGCAAATTTGACAGTGCACGGGGTGCTGGGATGGGAGAATAAAGGAACCCGCCAAACTGAGTGTTCTCCGTGTCTTTGTGTAAGATATTTCGCCTACAAGCTGAATTAAGATTACATATGAATGCAGAATATCTTTGCAAGTTTCACATTCGTAGTTTGTCCCGTAAACGAAATCGGCTGTTTTCTACTAATATTTTTGATGGGCTCCAATTCGAAACTCCATTTAAGTATAAGATTTTCCAGATGGACGATAAATATTCTGTCAAAATTTCAGCTATAATTTTCCGACTAGTTTACGAGTTGGCACAGTAATAACTGCAAAATATGATGTGGTCGTACACGGAGCGCAAGCAAGTGCGACAGCTGAATTTGAGCTCTTTCAGCTCACACATGCTCAAGAACATTCTCGCAACGTTTCAGCTCTTTATCTTGTATGGTATCCGAAATCGTTTGCTGGCAAGAAACTTACATATTTTGTCGAAGGTATCTACACTAAATCTAAGCGCCTGTAAGCGGAAGGTCATAATTGGGACAGTAATATGCTCCTAAAATTTCAGCTTCCCAGCCTTCTTGGTTGCTGAGTTGAAATCAGCTGACAAAGGTCACTCGCTTCCGAACACATACACACATACGAATGACCTCTCGGCAATATGCGTTTTTGCATTGACGTTTTATGCAAAAACGCATTAAAAAAATGGATGCAGTTCATCACAATTTCTGAATGAATCAACCCGACAGGAAAATGCCAACAAAATTGGTTTTCAACAAAGTATCATTAATTCACAAACATTTTCACAGCGGTAGTTGCAAAAAGCAATAGAAATGAGCAAAATTTCAGAACGAAACTATTCGTTAAATCATTCGAGGAAATGAACAAATATTCTGGTACGCTTTTTCTTCAGATTCATAATGCAGTGATTAACTTGATAGCCACTGACTGTAACCAAACAACAAATTGTCTGGATAATCAATGTAGTGTAATTGCCACATGCCTAGTACAGACAAGCCAACTCAAGAATAATAAATAAGCAGTACACTAACCAAACTTTCTCGCTAAATACATTGCGATGGCTGTTGACTGGGACAGCATCTTGCCGTCCTCCTCCAAAACTGGAACTTGACCAAATGGCATCTCTGAAATCGCAGTATCTCAGTGGCCAAAACTCCTCCATAGCTGAACTATTTAAGGGGTTTTTATTATATTTCCATTATTTAGCTAAAAATTAGACAATATAAACCATCGATTGCGTGGGAGAACAGTCAACAGCACTGAGCTGAATGCTCTGGTAAGAAATTCCCTAAAGGAAAAAACTTTAAAGAAGCAGTTTGGTTCCAACTGGCTTTTGCCCGCAGAATAAAACCGTACCTGTAGTGTATGAATTCTGATGTGTTTCTGCGAATTCATTCTTTCCCTACGGTGATAAAATTAACACGATGCTCGTAATGTTCAGTCAAATTTGGACTGTAAGGCTAAGTTTGTTTTCTTCTGTCCAGCTTATAGCTTCGTAGCTACAGCCGACGCAGTCCGGTACATCACAGGACATTATTTATTCATATTTAGTAACGTTTTGCTGAATCTAATGTCGTAAATTAGGCTCGCTGATCCCGGTTAAATTCATTACCCATCAGTTCAGCTTAAAATGCCTCAGTAATATAACTGAATTGTCATTTCTCCAGTCCCCACCCTTCCATTCCCCTCCTCCATCGTCTCTCTTCTCACAAAAGTGGTATTACAGCACCGAAAACAAAAAGGGCATTATGGAGCAAAAAAAGTCGGCAAATTCACGCATTCCAATGGTCAGCATCTCGAAGAAAGATACATACAGCCCTTCATACGCTGTCGCGAATAGAATATCTTCAGCAGATGATTAGAATCGCTCGGTTGCGAAAGGATCAGGGACTAACGAAATTGATGAAATCGAGTTCTAAACGCTTTTCGGTACTAGCTATAGTCTTCGACTACACCACGAAGAGTGATGCCTTTTTGTCAAACCCAGCAACAAACAGTGTATTTTCTGGCTTACTTTGCTTGAATTTGGTTGGCCAATCCTCTTTTTTGATCCGGATGTCTTCATACGGCACGTCGGCTTGCGCAAAAATCAAACGAATTATTTCGGCGCGTCCCATCAAATCGAAATAATACAGCTTGTAAGAGGGCATATTTCTTGAGTTCCTTCAACTTTGCAGGTAACTTCACAAAGAAAAGTGCTCAGTTTCCTTGACTGGTCGACTAGGCCCAAGTTCAGGATAAGTGTATAACTTCGGAACACAACCTGCTTGAAATTCAAGATTTTAAGATTACAATCAACAGCTTCGGCTTTGTAGTCCAATGTTTCTGTGTCTTCAGGACAAAGCCTAAGCCAGTTTTACAAACTGAGGATAAATTGAGCCAAGAACTCTGATTTTTTAGTTTGTAGATTAGTAGCAACTAAATGGTAGGATTTTAAATCTTTTAAGCTAATCCGTCCGATTTTTCTTCTGGAAAACACAATAGCAACCGGATGACCCGGACCGGATTCTGAATCATCCTAGGCCCAAATTTATAACAATACTTTCAAATGCAAACTGAGACTATAACTCGGAAAAGGAGCATGTCGCACAACCAAAATATCGAGTTTTTACGATGAGTTAAAAGACAGCCGTAACGCGGTAAAACGAACTCCTCTTTGTTCTATTGCACATAGCGACTACGATCCAGTAATAGCTTATCGCAAAAAATCCAACTGTTCCTATGCATCGCTGCTTGCTAATTCATCATGCGTTTTTGCATAACATGCAAATGCAAAAACGCATATTGTGGGGACCCCGGTGTGTGTGTGTGTGTGCGTCTGTCCGGGTATTTCAACTCGGCACCCAAGCAAGCTCCGGCGCCGA